CCAGAATATCTAAGCCTACATGACCACTGGAAATTCCAACTGAGGTATTGTGGGAGTATTTGTCCAAAAAAGGCGGCAACATTACCAATTTTGATCAAAACATGCAACATTTTGTTGCCATTCTTCTACGTTACTGATACAGGACTAACTAGCCTTTGCAGTGCTACTATTTTAGCAAGCCACACAATGAAGAGACAGTTTCCATAGTTTCATATTTTGTATATTTATGGACAAGAGCAAAAATCAGTCTCAAAAATGTGCAAAAACTGATATGGCCAAATATGATTTTATTTTTTTAAAAAAATCATTTCCCTCCCTTAACAATAAAGAACAAACAAGGTCAGGTTTTATATTCCCATAATACAATGAACCAGTTCATTTATAACCACTGCATTTCAAATCGTAATCTTAGTTGCTGGCTTTTTTGTGCTCATTTTCAAGGTATCTATAATGTTTCCACAAGATAGGACAGAAAAGCAGTCAGTTCATAGCTTAACTTCAAATAAAACAAACAGAGATTCTTTAGATACCCAGCTCCACACAGAGAGAGAAAAATCCCATTTTTCTCAGTACAAAGGTAATTGCCCATCATTTACGAGGTGTAGGATTGCACACTCTGTGTTAGAGGTTTCTCCAATTCACTACCTGAGTACACTGAACTAACAATCAGAAAGACCTGTTAGAGGTTTTTCATAGTACTTGTTCTACAGGTTGAGGAGATGAGGAGTGGTAGTCTTCCCCCAATGATACAAGTTTTGTCAGCTGGATGCATTCTTTATCTTTGTTGGATCTCTTGCCACTATTTAAACTGAAGTGCATACAGCAGATAGAGGAAAGCCCCAGAATTGCTGATAGCCCATAGAGAGTCTCACAGCACCCTAAAGCCTAAGAAATCTATTGTAGCATCACTGTTGTGGAAGAACTCTTGAAACTAAATTCAGAAGTGATATAAACTGGTAAACACACACACTATTATACATGAGGAAAATAGGAAGTAATCACAGGAGAGAGACAAAAATGCAAAAACTGTAGATGGGCAACTATATGGAAAATTATTACACTCACCATTGACAAAGAAATTGACAGTAAATCAAACAGTATTGTCAGCAATGTCAGCAATGTTCTATTGCATTGTGTGTAGGGCAAACATATTAGTCTCCTAGCATCTGAATACATGGGAACAAACATACTGTAACTGTCGAAAGAGCAAACATAAAATGCAATATTGTACTCCAACCACTCAGGCAGGATTCTGACCTTAAAGAGACTACCCTTCTTCAAATGAACTTCAACAGGAAAGAACACAACACTGCTCAGAGTCAAAAAACTATCTTTAGTAGCCAGCTGTGCAACAGCTTGACAGCTAACCATTACTGTCTAATAGTTAGCCATTATTTAGGCAGTCCCACCATAATTCTACTATTAACACAATCAAGCACAATTACAGTAAATGGACCTTATGCAAAGAAAACAAAGAACTTATTTTTATGGACACATTTTTGTAAATGCTACTAGCCTTTTTGCATTGAGTGGTATTAAATTCAGATTAATATGCCTTAAGAATAATTACATGCTGCCAAGTCAATTCTGACCTACAGAGACTCTTTCCAGGGTTTTCTGGGCACCCAGAAGTGTTTTACTAGTCCATTCTTCTTGGGCCACTTTGAGACTGTGCAGCTTACCTAAGACTACATAAGCTGGATCTTAGGAGGAACAGTGGAAAATCAGACTCGCAATCTCTGCATCTACAGCCAGATACCTAAACCACTGAGCAAATGATGTATAAAATCAGAATGTTTGGCAGGCTTAGAAAAACCCTTTGAGTAGAAACTGGACAGTGAAACAGACTGTACTTCAAAAAGAAGAATAAGCTTCTATCCCTATCTAGATAACAGAAGTATGTAGGCAATTTTTTAAAATCTAATGATAGTGAATGAGAGATGAATTGGCACTACCAAGAAATGACTAAGATGCTCCCCCCCCCAAAAAAAAAGATCAGTAGAAGAGAAACTAATTAGACCATCTGGCCCTATCTGTGATTTATAAAGCATACCCACTGGGCTAGGTACTGTGGACACCAAACAAGAAGCACTCAGTTCCAAATATGCCCTTGCAAATTATCCACTGATACTAACATTCCTGACCATAAAAGACTTGGGTGCAATCCTCTGCACACTTAGAGTACTTGGGAGAAAGACACGCAGAACTGAGTTCTGAATAAACACATAGAGAAAAGGTTTAAATGTGCTAGTGAGAGGAAAAGAACTGTGGAAAGACGATAGACAGGGCCTTTACAAATCCGTGCTAAACACCCAGATTTTAATTTTTACCTAAACATTCCTGACCATAAAAGACTTGGATGCAATCCTCTGCACACTTACTTGGAAGAAAGACACACAAAACTGACTTCTGAATAAAAACACAGAGAAAAGGTTTAAATCTGCTAGTGAGAGGAAAAGAACTGCGGAAAGATGATAGATAGGGCCTTTACAAAACCATGCTAAACACCCAGATTTTAATTTTTACCTCATCCACTGCAAGATTAAACAAAGGTGGAAATGGCATAAAAACTCTCATGCTTTGGGAAGTTTTCAGAGACAATGGTCCAATTGCCCATCACAGAAACAACACACAGTGCCTGTGAAGCAACATGGCTATAAAGAGATGGAAAGGGGCATGGATGTACACCCAGCACATCCCACTTTTTACACACACTCTCCTTGGTCTCCACCTGAATGCTGGTAAAAATCACAGAATCCATCACAGCCCTACTCCTAATGTCTCTATTCCCCTACCCCCAATATGCCCTTCTCTCTCCCTACACCAATCTATAGTTCCTTTCCTCCTGGCTCACTCCCAGACTCACACAAAATGCTAGCCATTGGGGTTCTTGTGCACCTTTAAAACTGTGCACACCATCCCCTGCCCCCAACTCTGCCTTCCATGGGTACTGGAAAGAACTTCGGAGCCTCTCCCCCTCTTGCCTCTACATCTGATGCTGTTATTGCTCAGTATGATCAGAGTCTGGAAGGCTACTTTTAAGACAACATCATGCTGAAGCTTCCAGAACTGAGCAATGATAGGATGTGCTCTGGGACTGTTATGGATGGTTTCACCTCATCTCTATAGACAATCTTCTTACAAGTAACTTTCCAACCTCTGCACAGGACATACATGTTCTTTCCTTCCAGATTCAAGGGAAAATGCACATGGTGTGTGTGTGTGTTCAAACCAGACTTTTTTTTAATGCCTGAGCATCCATTTCTTTCTGATCTTCAGTTAAACCGCTCAGTCCAAGTGATCTTCCCTATCCAAGCCTCTACAATATGAAGCAACAGGAGTGGACCCTTTCCCTAGACTTCTGCTGTTAATTTTCCTCAAATCCAAACCAATGTGCCTATAACACAACTTGTTCTAAGAGGTACTTGTCCTAAGCAATGGAAGACTTTTCTTGCTTAAGCAATCCTGACTCTGTTGTCATCTAACCCTGTGTATTTTAACTAATAGATTACAACTTCGTCAAAAGGGCTGTCTTGTCAGCCAAAAGAAGACTTACCGGTACATTTGTCAGTTTGCAAGCTTGCACAGTACAATATGTTATTACTTTTGAATTGGCCTAGTTTTTTAAAAAAATAATGTTCTAAGATGGATTTTGGAACTTAGTCAGAAGTTAAGCTATGCCACCTACATCCTGAACTGATATAGGAGCTTGGTGATGGGTGCATTAACTTGCCATGCTTGGATGCTTGTCTTATCATAACAGCATTGTCTGAATAGTCAGCCTCCTTGTTTCATTTACATTTAACCTGACAGCTCTTTTTCCCCCAGTGCATTTCCATCTTACCTCCCAATTCTTCCCTTCCTCAAACAACTCTAGGGATGCCTGCCAACTTGAGATAATCCTTCATGCATTTGATGAAATGATTTCTAAGGTGGAGCCAGGGTACATTCTATCAGTCTCCAAAAGATGCCACAAAGCCACCTCCTTGTTTTCCTGCCAACAGATTAACAGGACAACCTTTTCTCCCTCTGGAAAGTCTACTAGAACAATAGTTTTCCTTTCCCCTTCTTTAAAAAAAAAAGATTGAGCTACCTTAGAGAGGGAAATGGGAATTTATGGCCCCACCAAGCTGAAGGCTTTCAAGAGGAAGAGGTAAAAAGTCTTTTTTCTTGTTACCCCGTTAAGAGTGATAGCTTCTCTCTTTCAAAGGAAGAACTGGCAAAACTGGCAGAGCGTTCTGGTGTGAAACTGATAAAAGTGCAAAAAGGAAAATGTTACCAAACAGGAGGAGAAAAAAAACAGAAGAAAAAAAGAGGGAGGGGTGAAGATGGCAGGAGTTTTGCTGCAATCTTTGAACAGGCCCTTTGTATAAGCTGCTTCTTCTTCTTTCTAGCCACGGTTCCTCAATGAAAATGGGTTGGGAGGGTCCAAAAGGAACAGCAAAACACTCCCCCCAGAAATCCCTCTGCCTATTAGGCATCCGTTTCCCTTGTCATTAAAATCAGGAACTTGAGAAGAAGCTTTTCGAAATCAACAGCCAGTTGGGATTCCCATCCCCAAGTCACGGATGATAGACTTAAAGCAAACATGAGTTTGGAGACGGCCACCGCTGGCTGGGGATTCTGGAATCTGCAGTCGCCTTCCCCCAAAAGTAACATTTCCTAGCACGGGCAAACGTAAAAGATTGAGAGAGACTGAGCAGATTTAGAACCGTTCCGGGCATTCCTCTCCTCCCGACGCAACACGAAGGCAAGGAAGCTCACCCGGCCCCACACGTTGCGACCCGCCTTCCGCCGCTTTCGCACCTTTCCTCCAAGGTAAACCCCCACGGCGTGCCGCGGGGCAAGCCTCCCTCGCCCGCTGGCTTGCGCCGGCAACCCGAAGAGGAGGGGCGGCGGCCACAGCAACCCAGGAGGACGCGGTGCCCGCCCGCGCATTTTCTGTCAGGTGGGCTCCCTTTATGTTGCAGGAAGGGGGGAGGAAGGAGGAGGGCACCCACCTTGGCAAGAGGGAGCAAGCAAGGAAGCAGCAGCACCTTCCCTGCGGAGCCTCAACTGGGCTCGGAGTAGAGCTGGGTGAGCGACGTCCCTCCTGCAAAGGCTCCGGGCACTTCTGCTCGTGCCACTCCCCTCGCGGCGGCTCCGCTCCTTGCCCTCCCCCTCCCTGTCCCCTCCTCTCCTCCCCTCCCCTCCCCTCCCCGGCGTTCCCGCCTTCCTCTGTGGTTAGAAGCGCCTGCGGCCCCTCGCTCGGCATTCGAGCTCACGCTTCCTGTCCGTCTGAAGGCAGCACTACGGCTGTGTAAAGGTGTGAGGAGGCGAAGGAGGAGGAGAAGTGGTCTGGCTTATGGGGCCGTTGTTTGAGGCGGGCGTCGTAGCCCCTGGACCTCGGGCTGTGTTGCCCACTTGTGTGTGAGGGACGCGCCCTGCGTTCGCCCACCTTGCTGCCTCTGGCCCAAAGAGCAAAACGGGGTGCCCTGGGGGACGCGCCCTTTGGCAGGGACCAAAGACGAGATGGATGGGCTCCGTAAAAGAACCCACGGCCTTGAGTCTGTAAAAGCTGAGCAGGGCTGTTCATGGTGGGACATTTTGAGAGTCACTCCTTCATAGGGTAGCTCTAAGTTGGAGGCGACTTGAGGGCGCAGAGCAACCCTCACACCCACGGGGGTATTGATTTGCAGCCTAATTTTTATTTTAAGAGGCATTATTTTCCAAACAACACTAGTTTCAAATAGAGAACAGTTATCTTTCTTTGTGGAGGCTTACGGACAAAAGGAGGAGACTTCCCTGGCAGGACTTCTTCATATACTGATCTGGGATTAAATACAAATCAACTCAGTAATGTGAGTTATTTTTCTGTAGAGACACTGGTATTATTGATCCTCATCTGTATTTGTGAGCAGGGCTCTAAATATAGATGCTATTAATTGAGGATTAATTAAGATACTTTCTTCCAAAAAGAGGTAACAAGAGAACTTCTGCTGTGGAGCCCAGAAATTCCATAGATAGTGACTGAGTTTCTTTCTATGCTGAGTTCCTGAACTTAAGGAGCAAGAAATGAAAAATGCTTAAGCCTTGATTCAGAAACAGCTTTTGAAATTGAAAGCATTTTTATTTATTTATTTATTTTATGTAACATATATGCCACCCACTCTAACCAAAGGTCTCTGGGTGGCTTACAACAATTAAAATACAATAAAAGGATAAAACAATTAAAATACAATTAAAATATATACTCTAAAAATTGCCATCAGGACCCACAGTTGATATAATTTCAGTTAAAAGCCTTCTGGAACAGGAAGGTTTTGATCTGGCACCGAAATGTCATCAGTGTCAGTGCCAGACAAATCTCAATTGGGATGGTGTTCCATTGTCTGGGGGCAGCTGCCGAAAAGGCCCTTTGTCTACAAGCCATCCCTCTTACCTCCTTGAGTGACGGCTCTTTCAAAAGGGCCCCCTGGCTAGATCTTAACTGCCAGGTAGGTTCATATGGAAGGAGGTGGTCCTTCAGGTATCCAGGGCCCAAGCCTGGATACCTGAAGGGCTTTATATGTCAAAACAAGCACTTTGAATTGGACCTGGGCAGCAACTGGTAGCTAATGTAATTTAAACAGAATTGGCTTGATATATCCCCTAGTGGCCCCACCACTCACCAGCCGTGCAAGTCGATTCTGGACCAGTTGCGGTCACCAGACGATCTTCAAAGGCAGCCCCATGTAGAGCGCATTGCAGTAATCTATACGAGATGTTACCAGTGCGTGTGTAACAGTCATGAGACTTTGCTCATCCAGGTAGGGCCGTAACTGGTATAATTTCCGCAGCTGAACGAAGGTGCCTCTGGCCACCGAGTCCACCTGGGCTTCCAGAGTTAGACTGGGGTCCAGGAGCACCCCCAGGCTGTGGACCCTGTCCCTTAGGGGGAGTGTAACCTCATTCAGAGCAGGGAAATGGCCCTCCAGCCTGTCTGGCTAAGCACCCACTAACAGTCTTGTCTGGACTGAGTTTCAATTTATTAACCCTCATCCAGTCCATTATCAGGTCCAGACACGAGTTCAGCACAGAAACTGCCTCACCTGAATTGGTGGAAAAAGAGGTAGAGCCGAGTGTCGTCAGCATACTGCTGACTCCTCAGCACAAACTTCCTGATGACCTCTCCCAGCAGTTTCATGTAGATGTTAAACAGCATAGGGGACAGTATCGAGCCCTGAGGAATCCATTACATAAATGCCATGGGACAGAGCAACTGTCTCCCAGCACCACTCTCTGGACACGGTCAGCTAGGAAGGATCAGAACCACCATAAAGCGGTGCCTCTGACTCCCAACCCACCCAGCCTATCCAGAAGGACACCATGGTTGATGGTGTCAAAAGCCGCTGAGAGGTTCAGGAGTATCAACAGGGTCACACTCCCCCTGTCTCTCTCTCTCGGCAAAGGTCATTATACAGGACGACCAAGGCCTGAACCCCGATTTGATACAGAAAATCTGTTTCATCCAGCAGCGCCTGGGGTTGCCCGGCCACAACCCATTCCAACACTTTGCCCAAATAAGGGAGGTTCACCACTGGTCGGTAGTTAACCACCAGCCTTGGGTCCAGGTTAGGCTTTTTAAGGAGTAGCCAAATTACTACCTTTTTCAAGGTGGTACGGACCACTCTCTCAAAGAGGCGTTCATGGCCTCCTGGACCCAGGTGCGAGCCCCCTGGCAGATCTTCTAATTAGCCAAGATGGGCAAGAGTTGAGCGGAGTGGTGGTAGAATGGACAGATCCAAGCACCCTGTCCACATCCTCAGGTCTCAACAACTGAAACTCATCCATTAATATTTGATCTAAGCACGGCACACTGGGCACATCCTCTGATCCTGCAGTAGTGATGGAGTCCAACCCACTGCAAATCTGAGTGATTTTTCCCTCAGAATGAATGGCAAACTCATCAGAGCGAGCTGATGAGCAGTCCGGGACCTCCACCGGATTTCTTGGTTGAAGAAGATCCCGGACCACCGGAAACAGCTCTGCTGGACGACATTCTGAGGAAGCAATAAGGCTGGAGAAATATTGCCATTTCACCAGCCGTATTGCCACAAAATAGACCCAATAATGGGCTCTAAGTCATGTTCAATCTGATTCCCAGTGGGATTTCCTCCACCTGCGCTCCAGCAGTCTCCCTTCTCGCTTCATCGCTTGCAGTTCAGAAGTACACCAAGGAGCTGTCTGGGCTCTGCATGCAGGGAGAGGGTGCTTAAGGCACAATCGTGTCAACTGCCGGGGTCATCTCCCTATTCCATAGGGCGGTCTGAGCTTCGACAGGAGTGCTGACCATATCAGACAGATAATCCTCCAGAGCATTCAGGAATCCATCTGGATCCATAGTGCTGGACTGAGTACTCAAGCGGACACAGCTGGGAGAGGGGAATACTACCCTCCTCTCCCACCCAGGTCAGTAATGCACGCCAGGTCAGCACCCTCATCCAGAATTACATCACGGATGAGGGCAGTCTTATTTTGTACTGACCTGGCATTCATCAACAGTACCTTGTGGCTTGAGGGTTTGCTGATATGGTCACCTCATACAATCTGGTTGGGGGCAGGACTAGAAGAGGGGATAGATGTAAGATATCTAACCTCTCTTCTCCTACGTGGGCATGTTCTACTCCCACCGGCATTCCTTCCCCTACTCACCACCCCCTCAATGGCTGCCCCATCCAATGCCACCCCCCCTTCCTGTTCCCTCAGATACACTGTGGGTCTCTATATAACTTGATGGCAATTAATAATCACAACAACAACAACGAATGAATACTTTATTACGTTCAAAGACCAGTAAAACCAAATCAATATAAAATAGATACATATAGTTATAGTTTGGTAAAGTCAGACAGGGTAATAAAATTTCATTAAAACATAATAAAACAATCCATTCTTTCCAGTTAATAACATTATATATCCTTAATATAAGTAAAATCTCAGAGTTATATTAAAAATATATCCATCTAAAATCACCTATTAAAAAACATTTGATTACGAATAACCATTGCTGCCGCACAGAATTTGGCCACTTGTCTCGTAATATAAGGGGTAATGTCACAGAGTAGCAGCTGGACATAATCTTCCTCTGATCTCCCGGGAGATTTACAGATAATAGGTGATAAAAGCTCCATACGAAGATTCCGATAGCAAGTACAGAAAAGGAGAACATGACCAACTGATTCAACTTTCCCCCACTGCCATTCCTTCCCCTACCCAGCACAACCTCAATGGCTGCCCCCTCCTATGCCATCCCCCCTTCCTGTTCCCTCAGATACACTGTGGGTCTCTCTGTATAAGTTGATGGCAATTAATAATTACAACAACAACAATAAAACCCCTTTTAAAGCCCCTTCTAATACATTGAGAATAACAGCAACAATAAAACCCCTTTTAAAGCCCCTTCTCCCCTCCGAAACAGGTGGCTGAAGTTGAGGATGGGGTCTGGCAGCCAGAAGCAGCAAGGGCCCAGTCCTGCAAGGCCGAGGGAGTTCAGGCCAAGATCCCCCAGGAAGGCTGGCAACTGCAGCAGTACAGCCATACTGTCTCTCACCCAGTGCCTGAGGGATGGCAGATGATGATGAAGACTCCCCCAAAGGCAGGAATGCTTGTCCGGCAGGGTCCTGGTGCAGGCTCTGGTTTATAAAGCCCCTTTTGATAGCAACAGTTTAAGAAACTTCTTTGGCTCTGGCAGTTGCATATTTGTTTCAACCGTAAAAAAAGAAATATGTAAAATTGATTTGTTTGGAAAACTATGAAAACTTCTACTTGATTCTTTGTCAATTATTAATACTGACACTGCCCAAGAACTTTGCTCCATATAAAAAATTAAAAAATCTCTGTGTTTTTGACCTGTTCCTTTCTAACTCTTTTAAAACCGAACCAGACATTTGTTCAGTAAAATATCCTCAATACATATGTAGGCCTATGCCAGCTATTTAGGAAGAAGAAAATATATTCAAAAATGTTGGCACTATGACATTCCATTAAGATGGTACAAAATAGAGGACATTCCAAGTTTCTAGACAGTTGCCAGCTGTTGATGTGCTAAGGCACAGCTATAGGACTATAACATTACCGCAGAGTGAATTTCTATATTTATTGGTCCTGTTGCTATTC